CCCAGGGCTGGGCTGGCGGGGGCTGCGGGTCGGGAGTGAGGGGCACCGGCAGGGCTTGGGGGGGCAGGGCTGGGCTAGCAGGGGCTGCGGGTCGGGAGTGAGGGGCACCGGCAGGGCTCGGGGGGGGGCAGGGCTGGGCTAGCAGGGGCTGCGGGTCGGGAGTGAGGGGCGCAGGCAGTAGGTCTCTGGGGATGGGGGAGGTTCGATACTCCAGGTCGTGACCCCCCTCCCCCCCCCACTGAAGAACTTTAATTCAATATTAAAGCTGTTTTGAGCCGCTTTCCTCATTGGCCAGCTCATTGTGATGTCACAATGGCCACATGGCTGGCTTCAGCTTGTTTGCATGCTGCATTCTGATTGGTTGGAGTTGGCTGCTCAGCTGGTGGCAGCACTGGGATTTTTGCTGCCTCTCCCGGGGGGCGGGGCATGTGTGTATATATCGGGGGGAGTGGGAATCACCCCCGGGTCCCCAGGCATTTGCCCCAGGCCCATCAGGCCGGGAGGGGGCAGGAGTTGGGCGTTTAGCAGTTGGGGTCCCGTGATCAAGCCCTAGCCGGTGTGCGGGGATGGTTTGGGGGGTGAAGCCTCAGACTCAGCCCCCCTCAGACTCAGCCCCCCAGGATACCCTCCAGGCCTCATGCCATTGACTGTACCTAGGATGGTTTAAACTGGCCCCCGTCATCACTGACTTACTCAGGTCCCCAGTACCTGAGGCAGGGGGTTGTTACAATCAGGCCTCGGGTTCAGTGGAAGCTCCCTTTGCTGTCTGTCTGCTGCCCCCAGCCTGCCACCCGTCCCTCTCCCCTCCCCGCTAAGGACGGGGCAGGCAGCCCCTCTCTCTGTTGCTCCCTGAGACCCCTGGGCAGGAGGACAGAGTCAAAGAGCTGGAGGGGGAACGTGAGCCAGCCAGCTGCGGATCCCACCGCCCCCACCAACGTCCCTTGGGAGCCCGGCCCCCTGCTCACCAGCTCCTCCCCCTCTTGTCTCCCAGCAGCCTTATGTGTCAGTGGCCCAGCAGATGGCGCCCCCGAGTCCCAGCGGCACCAACAACAACAGCAGCAGCAGCAGCGGAGGCGGCGGGGGAGGCGGGGACCAGCTAAGCAAAACCAACCTGTACATCCGGGGCCTGCACCCGGGCACCACCGACCAGGACCTCGTCAAGCTGTGCCAGCCGTACGCCGGGGGGGGGGGGGCCCCCCCCGGGGGCAGCAGGGCGGGATTGAGGGAAGCATCCGTGGGGCTGAGACATCCCCCCCCGGCAGGGCGCAGAAATGGGGGATGGCGGGTGTCCGACGGGGGCGGGAGATGGGGGGGATCTGACATGGGGGTGTCCCACGTGGGCACATGGGGTACCCTGGACGCTCCCTTAGACCTCAGCCAGAGGCTGAGATGCGGCCGTGACCCCGGGGCTCGTCCCCTCCAGATGCTGCTTCTGCCTGGGGCTCGGAACAGATCCGGAGACCCCCCCCCATCTCCCTGCCCCCCCATCTCCCTGCCCCCCCCAGCACTCCCAGCCCCCCATCTCCCTGCCCCCCCAGCACTCCCAGCCCCCCCATCTCCCTGCCCCCCCCAGCACTCCCAGCCCCCCCATCTCCTTGCCCCCCCAGCACTCCCAGCTCACCATCTCCCTGCCTCCCCCCCCAGGACTCCCAGCTCACCACAGCCACTGGTTTCCTTTGGGGGCAAGAATCCATTCTGGGCTCCCCCCCCATGTCCACCGGTGCCCCTCACTCCCGACCCGCAGCCCCTGCTAACCCAGCCCCGGGCTCCCCCCAGCCCTGCCGGTGCCCCTCACTCCCGACCCGCAGCCCCTGCCACCCCAGCCCTGGGCTCCTCGTTTTGGGAAGGGCTTTGGGTGAGTCAGGTGCCCAGCAGGGAGTGGGACCCCTGGAGCTCTGCGTTGGGCGGGGGTGGGGGGATATGGGGGAGCCCTGCTGGGCAGCAGCCCGTGGGGGTGGATCTGGCCCAGGAGCCAGCGCTGGGGGGGAGGGGGGGCGGTTGCTGCCGTAGCCTCAGCTCACCCCGGCCGGGAATGCTGGAAGTGGCCCAGCGCTGGCGCCCGCCCTGGCAGCCCGTGCAGTTCGGACCAGGAATTCGTGGGGGGAGGGGCTCCGGGAGCTGCTCTCGGCGGGGCGGGGGGGGGTGTAACCCCTTCAGGGATGGGTCAGGATTCGGGGGTGTTTCCACGTCTCCATCGCACCCCGATTTTTCCAGGGCCTGGCGCCTCCTGCTGTGACGTGGCTTCACTCCCTTGGGGGGCTCGGGGTTGCTGGCTCCCACGCGGTTTGTGAAGGGTTAATTCAGCCTTGCTAATTGGGGAAACTGAGGCACAGGGAAAGGTGAAAAGGGAGGGGAGCGGAGGCTAGTGGTTAGAGTGAAGGGGGAGGAGGGGATGGAAACCAGGAATCCTGGGTTCTCTTCCCACCTGTGCCGTTGGCTGGCTCTGGGACCTAGGGAAAATCGCTCCCCCTCTTCCCCCCTGCCTCAGTTTCCCCGCCACCCATTTCCATAGGTGGTGTCTATCCAGGGCCATGGGCCTCTGCCATGTTCCCTGCCCTGCCTTTGGGCTCAGGGGGTCCCCCGGTGCCCAGAGCGCCAGGGACTTGCTCAATCCGGCAGCTGGTCGGATTTCCTCCCCCACCCTGCCTGTCTCGGTCCCTCCCCGCCAGGAAATCCGGCCAGGCTGACCCGAGGGGGGATGGGCTGTTTCCTTCCCTGCCTTGGGGGGGGGAGGGGCTCAGAAGTCATCTGCCCTTTAAAAGGCCCCCCCATGGCTGCTGCATCCTGGGGGAGGGGAAATCTCATGACCCCCAGTGCTGAAGGGGGCGGCTCTGGGAACTGCCCTGCCTGGGATCCCAAGCCTGCCCCACCCCTGGCTTTGCAGCCGCTCTGTGGGGCCTGCGGGGGGTGTGGGGGGGCTGGATCCCCCCCCCCCCCCGCCTGGGGCTCGCTGCCCCTAGGAATTCCTCATTTAACCCTTTCCCAGCTGGGGGATCTTTCTTAGCTGGCACCAATGGGCATTCGCCCCAAGTTCAGAGCTCTGCCCCCTACCCCCACCCCGGCTGCAGGATTCGCCTTCAATTCCCGGCCTAAATCAACGCGGCTGTTAAACAGCCCCTGCCCCACCCCAGAGGCAGCTGCAGCTCAGCGCCGGGCGAGGTTTGGGGGTGGCAGGCGCTGTGGGATGCCCCGTTATGGGTCCCGCTGGCCGCTCTGCCCCATGCCCACTGTAACTCTTCTCTTTGGCATCCCCCCTCCCCCCCCAGATACGGCAAAATCGTTTCCACGAAAGCCATCCTGGACAAGACGACCAACAAGTGCAAAGGTGAGGCCCAGTGCCCCACAGCGGTGCCACGGGAGGGTCCCTGGTTCCTGGGAACCCCCCTGCTGCTTTCCCCAGTAGTCTGGGCTCTGGATACATTCCAGCAAAGGGTCCCCATATACCCAGCCCTGCGCCTCACCCAGAGCCAGCTGCATCTCAGCGCCAGGTGA